AAAAATGTAATTAAAACTTAGATCCGTTTTTTTCAGTGATGCAACAAACTCAAACCAACAATCTGTTTACATATGATTAGTCCAATATGTAATAATATCGGATTTATTTAATAACAGATAATTAGCTAATGAATTTAGTCTAAATCATTATTGTTCTACTTTCACTTTGCTATGAATTCTATGCAAAATGTAAATAAACCTCTATGCTAAATACGCACCACTTATTTGATAAAGTTTGGGTGCTAACAATGATTCTATTTCTAAACAAGAATTATGAAATCCTAATTAACATATCTACTTTTTTTCTGTTTTTGTTTTTAACTTGAAGGTAAAATATTTAAGTGAAGAGATTTATTTGTTGAACTTAAAACACAAGAAGTTGAAATAAAAATCAATTTCATTTTGTTAGCAATACCATAACAGCTTACAATGAGACCACTCTACTGATTACTTAATACAACATCCTCCAAATAATCCAGAAAGTTAATCATTCTCTTTAAATAGAATATTTGTACTTTACGCCTACAGTGGAATCGTGAGATAACTATTCCATGACTAATAACTTGTGTACATAACAAACTGATATTTTTGTCTTGATCAATTGTAAATCGAAACTTCTAGTTTCTGTATCATGGTTTCTGCGATATGGCCTGATATTGATAATTCCATTGGTGTTCCTATCATTTGTTCGTAGATTTTGTTGCTGATTTGGAAGTATGCTGTTAAGTATAAATCAATGAGTTCTAGTAGACGTTGACCCTGAAGTTTTATATACTTTCATAGGTTTGTGTCATTGGTCAGGAGCAGATTAGACAACCAGATTTTAAGGACTCTAAACAAGTTTATCAAAGCAGGATAAATATCAAAACAAGATCACTGAAGAATGAAATCTGATAGACCAGTTATCGCACAGTTCTACAGTAGGCCGAAAGTACACAAACCAATTATTCCACTACTTTCAATTAATTCATCCCTGGAACTCCAAAATACAACTTACCAAGTGAAATTTCAAGGATATTGGAACATTTGGTGGTATTACACAATTACGCCATTAAGTTTATCATTCAATTCTTGGATAAACTAAAGGAGATGCGAATCGACAGCGACGAATAGCTGATATCTTTCAATGTAACAGCCTTATTCATCAGAATCCAAGCAACCTTAGCTAAAAAAGCACTATCCTTGCTCCTAACCAACGACGCAAACCTATGAAAGTATACCTAACTTCAGAGTCAACGTCTACTAGAATTCATTGATTTATGTTTAACAGCATACTTCCAGATCAACAACGAAATCTACGAACAAATGATAGGAACACCAATGGAATTATCAATATCAGGCCATATCGCAGAAACCATGATGCAGAAACTAGAAGTTTCGATTTACTATTGATCAAGACAAAATTTCAGTTTGTTATGTAGACGACACATTAGTCATTATTAAAAGGAACGAGCTGGAGAATAACTACAGTCGGATCGATAACGTCTTTGATGTCATAAAATTCTCAATGGAACAGAAGTCAAACAATCATTCTTAGATGTACTAGCTGTCAGAAATGACACAGGAAAACTGGAGACTTAAGTATTTCGGAAGCCAACTCACACAAACCTAATTCTCAACTGCAGTAGAAACAACCCAAGAACTCACAAAATCAAGTTAGTACCAACGTTGTTCAGGAGATTGAAGAAACATTGCAGCACACATGAAGCATAAAAGAACGAAGAAAAATATCTGATAACTGTCTTCCAAAAGAATGGCTATCCACACAACTTCATCAAAAAATATCAACGGAAACAATCGACAGAAGCCAATTCACGTACAACAACCAATAAATGGATCATCCTACCATACATAAAAGACATATCGGACAACTGCGACCATTCGGAGTCACTTCAATCAGTCTTATGCAGACCAAAGGACTAAGTGACAAAGGAAGAAATACCAAATATCATCTAAAAAATAAATTTCTCAGACTGTGAAAAATACTACATAGGACAAAGTGGACGGCGTCTTCAGCTTCGTTTACGGGAACACCAATCAGCAGACAACCGCCACAACAATTCTTCGCTTATATCAATACACACCGACAATTATGGACACATTCGATTGGAACAATGTGGAAATACTGGATAGAGGGAGGACAAAGAACATTAGAGGATTTTAAGAAGCTTGACACTCAGGTCAATCAGAAATCAACAAACACATCGACATTAACCCACTTTATCAACCAATCAGAAAGATCCTAGGCGACATAGGATCAAGAAACAGATCAAAAGGGAGATACAATCAAAACAAAGGTGCAAACAACGACAGGTTTAAGGTCAGCAGCAACCAATCAAGACCAAGGTCAACAAAAAAACTACGGGTTAAACGTGGGGAAATTCCAGTACTTCACTTCTATCTGAATTTTATGCTGATGATGTTGTTCATAAGAACAACGGAAACTTCACAACTAAAACATCCAGCTCAGAGAACTAAACTCAACCGCTGAAGTAGATTTCACAAAGAAAATGTTTTGACAGAAGTTGATGAAATAGTACTAAACAATAAGTCGACTTTTTTCCATATTACATGAGATTACCGCATAAACCTATATCCAAAAAGATATTTGATTTGAAAACTTATTACAGTTTCACCCATTCATGTTAACGAATAGTGTAAATAGTTATCAGTTCGAATGAATTAAAGAAAAGCGGGCAAATTAACATCTCGCATGCCATAATGAGCACGAAGTCCTTTCAATACATAAATAATTAGCTAAATAATTATCGATTCAATATCTTTTATATTTTAAATCCTAGTTGCGTATTTATGATAAATTCAATGACAAATTTCTATAGGCATGTATTTGTGCATATCATTTTAAACCTATTTTCTGGAAATACTTATGCAAGAAATTGACGTCACCAATATTTTTGATGTGGTCGGTATATCATGTATGTAATGGTATCTGTCAGCTTATATCAAAGTCAAGTTAATGAGAGACTTTATTATATTTGTGTACGCATATATATGACTCCCTGTCAATAGGTATTGGAGAAAATATACATAAGTTTTCATAAAAAGATTTTTCAAAATGAATTTTTGCAAGACACTTTAAACAGATACAATAAATTTCACAATTTTCTTCAACACTTTCAGTCTCAGAATGTGTTTAACACTTTAGATGTGTATTTAATAAATTAAGTATAGTGAAATATTTTTACCGAAACTCATGATTCATAAATAATCCAAATAATTGATACATGCACAGTTAGAAAAGTTTAAAATACTTTCCTTTAAGAAAATTAATTTTAAAAGAAACAGCGTAATTTTATTTGCAAAAAATAATACAGAATTTTAATATCACGTGAGTGAAGTGGTTTTCGAAAAACATTTTGTTCTAACAGCTCTTTATATATTCTTTCAAAAACCGTATGTTGTATGCTCGTCAACTGATATGCTAAGTAAGAAGTCTTGGTAGGGCTTAGAGAATGTATTCTAGAAGCACCAGGTGAATACGAAGTTCGTAAGCACACAAATCAGGCTTATTTGTACAATTATAAAACGCCCTTGGTGTGAGCCGCAAAATAGCTTACTAAAATAATCCATCAATCAAAGACAGTCAGTGATTTTCCGAATGGGAAATGTAAGCTGAAGGTCAACTAAGCGTTTTCGGCACGAAAAAATGGAGTCCCTAACAGTCTGTAAATGATAAAATATAAATTGGTTTCCATGATTGACTAATAGATTGATAATAATAGCAGTAGCTTTGTAATACAGTTACAGAAGTTTCAGAGAGAAATCCCAATTCAATGAAGTTCAGTCATGTTCGAAAGGAAACACATAGTACAAGTGACATTATATATGTTTAGTATGTGAACGAATAATGTTGAACGTTATGGACATTTGATTCCATTAGTATTAAGGTATAATATTGTTAAAATAAAGTTGCTATCATTATTTGTATCGGATATCAATAATTCTCTTTTAATTTTGCCTTGAAATTGCTTGCATTAATGATAGAGCACTTAACTAATGAAACTATACAGATTTAGAATATGTAACCGTTGTTATAATTGAATGTATGCATCAGATAAACCTTTATGTGGATTTTTTATGCTTTTACTATTTTAAAGCTTATATATTACAACCCCTTTACATTATATCTAGTTAATCACAAACTGTACCGTACTTTGTCATTTTCAGGGTCTATATAAATCTAATAGTCTGAATAAGATTTTACAAATCAAGGGTTTGTATGATAGCAGACTTTGTTTTTGAAGTGCTTGTTTTACATTTTTATCTTTTACGTTGTAGATGACTTTTAGTGATCTGTTATAGGACAAGAAATAGATTTTATCCTAGCTATTCATTAGTGAATTTAACATCTAAGTCCTTCTCTTTCCTAAATGCTGCCCAAAATGTTTCCGAATATTATTAGCCTCTTTAAAACAAGCGTTCAACTAAAACAATTTGTAAGTCACATCCTTCGATATATTGTTTACGAAATGCAAAACTGATATTAAGCGTCTGCCTTGTATCATTTTGTAAATCTTATAGATTATTTTTAACAGTTTTTGATGCGAATTCGCTTCAATCTAAACCATCTTTCAAATCTCTAATCTTCGGTAAGAGCATAAGAGTTTGCAATATAAGTTACATACAATTTAACTGTTTTCCATATAATTCATAAACTAACTATTTCATACAGATGAGGTGAGGTTCATTTTTTTCTCTAACATCAATAAGCCAATCGTCTATCTGACCATAGCGATATTAAGACAAATATCAGGAATGACATTAATTGTCACAAGACTATTTTAAAACGTCATCCGAATTAATTGACACTTAGGGTTTTACATTTGTGAACTTTAAATTAGTAGTCCCAATGATAACGTTACCGATGTATGACCCAACATTTCTATGATTGAACTGAAGCAATGCCACTGATACTCACTGCTGGTACGAAACAATTATTCAGTACTCTTTACTTTTGAATGTTAATCTAAATAATGCTAGTCGTCAGCAGAATCTATCAATGAAACATTTGAATTTTCATAGTGATCATTTGTGTGGAATTTCAAAGTTGATATCAACTATCCTAACACTGATAAATCTAATCGGAATGATAAGTCGACAATACATTCAAAATGTAAACAATGTGTATGAAGAGTTTTGTTTTAACTAAATTTATGTTTTTTTAAAATACTTTCATAATATCAAGAACTAGAGAATAGTTTTTTTTTTAAGGATATTTGGAAGAACAAGAAATGTTTTTTTGAAAGATAGAAAAGGGAAAGACAAATATTTTATTCATGATGTCAGTAGAATTGGTAGTGTTGGAATTGTTTAACATCAGTTTTGTTTCTAAATAAAATGTCATCCCTTGTTTAATGTGTCATACTGCATTCTTCTTCTGTTTTTTATCTTAATTACTTGGTGTACGCCAAAGAAGAATGATATTCTTGTCAACTTTGAATTGAATTGATTGGAAGGGTTCATGAGAGAAATTCATCCAGTATGAACCAGTTAAAGTAACCACTTGCCATACACGTTCATAACGTTCTTCTAACTTAAGTTTCAAATCATTTACAACTTTACGCATATCAGGTTCTTTTCCAGCTTTGGCAAGTATATCTTTATATAGTTGTGTTACTTCAATTTGTTTTGGTAACGGCATTGTTGAGGCAATAATTTCTACTCCATCGGGTATTTTCGATACTTTACCTGATTGTACAGCTTTAATGTGATTACGTTCAACGCGCCTAAAATAAAAATAACAAGGCTTTATTGATGATTGCAATGTAATTTTAATGGATAGAAATGCCATCTCTATCATTTTTAATCTTATTGCAAATAAATATCGGTTGACTAATATAAGTAAACGCTTACATATTCGTTTGATTTAATAATTGAAAAGCTGACCAGTATTTTATAACTGCTGCAATACTTATGCTAATAGCATTAAGTGAATATTGCTAGTTAAGAGGTAGAGTTCTGTAGAACTTGAAGCTAATCAAATATCAGTTTATAATAAATGGAAATTTGTTTAGAACTATGCAGTAAGTTCATACTTATCATTTTAAATAATCATTCTTTATCATCAAAGACAGATTGAATTTTTCATGTATTTGTAAGAATACAGTTCAACAGACACTTGTTCTATACAATTTTAGCAGTCCTATTACTGATGCTGTACTTAGATTTTATTAGAATGATGGTACATGTCAAAACTTTTACTCTCATTGTATCAAATTATGAAGTTAAAAAGTAAAAAGTAAAATTGTGAATACAATTAAATGTTACATTTATGTGTTTATATATTGTTTCATGATTTGTTAAATAAAAACTTCACTTTAATTTTATATTGTTGTAAATATAATTGTATAGATGTGGTTTTTGTATTCTTCAAATTATTGTTCACTTTAGCTATAGGTATTTTGTTTTACTGAATCAACAGTTACTTCTTGTACAATATTCAAACTACTAATAGCTACAATAAATGTGGAACTTTATAACTAGGCAAAAGTGAGGACAATCAACCTTCATTGACATTTTCCAGGTGCCAAAATTAATAATACCTATGCATTTAGTAAGACAATTAGATCAAGCAGATTTCAAACTTTTCTGAATTATTAATTTAGAATTTGAATACCGTTTTGCATTCACTAGTAGTCTTTTCTAATGAATACATGTTTCTCGATGTAAAGTGTAATGGTTAATTTACTATTTAAGTTCACTGGTTACATATTTCTCATTTTTATTGTTACTTCAGAATAATCGTAATTAGACCTTATAAAGTTTATTTGTTTTATTGTTTTGAGAATCTCTTCTTAGGTTTTTTTCATATGTCTTATATATTTTACTATAATTCTAAACTACTTGTTAGTGAACTTGAAATTCACTCATGTATAAGTTTGGTTATTTTTTGAATTTCTTAATCAAGGTAAACGCAGTGAAGTTCATCGCTTTCATTTCATTACATACTATCTATGGAAATTAAAGATTGTAATGAATTTACACAGCATTTTAACTGTATGCTTTTGCACTTCTATTACATTTTCACTAGTTAATGATAAATAATTCATCTTAATAATACACAGAGTGAAATGTTATTGTTTTGAAACAACAATGATGAATAGATAGAATCTACATTGAAGGTATATAATAGTAGCCATATTGTTAACATCATTCAGGGATCATTCTTTTCTAGTCAGTCAGTTAATCAGTTACAACGTGGAAATTCGTACATGAGTACAAAAGTTCAGATTGCCATACATCATCAGCACATAGACGCCACTGTCAGTTCAAATCCCATAGGGTTCGAAGATATGATTCGAGAAGTATAATTCAGTGAGATAAATTTAGAAATAGTAAGATAGAGATGATGAGGGATTAATAAGTTCTTATCTAATAGACTCATTTAAACATTATAAGCTCGTTTTATTGATTTCTAGAGTTTTTTATCATGAAAATACTTCGTTTTAAATAGTTTTAAACTGTATACAATCACCGTGAAGTCTACCAAGTAATAATTGTGTTACTTATTATCATAAACAATTAAATTCTATTACTTTATAACCTAGTTTTTACACCAACATATAAGTTTTAACCAATTTATTATGCTTAAACAAGTCATTCTTATTCAAAACTGATCAATACTAATTCAAGTTTTTTTGAAAACTGATTTTCGAAGCAAATATTAAAATGCGACGAATTAACATCAAACAGTTATTTCATTTTATGTGTTTGATTATGATTGATTATGTGGTTGATTCTTATCAAGCATATTGAGTTTTTTGAGAACTTGATTCATATTTAAGTAGTTAGTGTTTACACATTAAGTTATCTCTTTTATTTGAAACGTTTTTTTTAAAAAAGAAGTTCAATATTCATTCAGCTCCTGTCAGTAAATCAAAGGTCTTTTTACTCAAATAAAACCTCTTAATAAAACAACAGTTTGTAAAAGACATTGTTTCTATTGCTGATTATATACAATTAAAATATTTCTATTTAATTCGTATTTCATATGCATATTTCAAGTCCAGTATCTTGATTGCATAAAAATTATTAACATGTTAATTCTTTTTCATTCAAATAACAGTGTCCAATATAATTATGCATAATTTTAAACAAATCAAATGCGTTTGTTTTTTATTTGATAAAATCATTCAAATCAAATTCCAGTTAGACTTACATTTCATTCGTTTTCAATCCTAATCCACGACAAAATTCTTCCATTGTGATTTTATTATCTTTATCCACATCGAATTGTGCCATATATTTCTAAAATTAAATAAAGGAGAAATTGTCCTTCATGTTTTTTTTAAAAACAAGAAAACAAAATGATTGGATTTTATCGAACAATATCTGAGTATGTTTTCGCAAGGAAAACATTATTTTTCGGAATTTTTGTAGAATTATTGACTTAGTCAAATGTAGCACAAAAACCTGGCAATTCTTCTCCGTATATAGAATGTTCAAATGTATTTTCCGGGACGTCTGCAATAATTGGTGTTTAAGATTTTCTATACAAGCGGGATGAGTGAGGAACTAATGTTGTTTACAAATATATATATATATATATATATATATATATATATATCAATGAAACATTTATTTTACAAATAAAACTGAACTTACAGCATCATTGAACAGTACTACTTACATTAATAATTTTCGGATCGATATTTTTCTTTGCACAATAATCAGCAAGTTCATTTTTATCAACAACATCATCGCCATCGCGTATAATGGTTAAATACGCTGTAATAAACTGTTCCATGTCACTGGCCATATTTGATATTTTTGAATTTAAAAAAAAATAATGTAACAGAGAGAATTAAAACAAAATTCAGTGAAATGTATGTCTTTCTTTTTTTTCTTCTTCAAATAGTTTCAATCTGAATTCGTTTAGTCTCCAAGTATTTTTATATTTTTAAACTCTATTTATATTATCGTCAGAATAATTTAGTGATTACGTGTAAGTGTGTATTTCTTCACCGTGTATGATTTTAACTGATCAACATTTTATTGTTGGTGAATTAATAATCTAAAGACTGTGTTTTATCGTTGAGTTGTAGTTGGTGCATAATGTGGCCTCAATATTTAGCTTGCATGTATATTCTAAACTGGTATACACATACACACACACTCACACACAGATACTTTCCGTTGAATACGTGCAGTAATTTACATAAATGTGTGTTTGTGTTATATATATATATGTATATATCTGACATAATTGGATAGCCACAATAAAGACATTTTGGAATTAGATGAGTAAATGTAAGTTAGAGACAAATCAATAAGCTACCAAACTTAATCATTAATGTATGTATATACAACTATGAGATATCTGATTGACTGAACCGATTTCTATGAAACACATGTACTTGTGTTTGATTATTTATGGTTAGTATACAGAAAGCACTATGAATGTAAAATGAAACAAAGATAGTTTCTTTTGTTTCTGGCACTATGTTATACTGATGAAAATGATTCATCGTATTTCAAAATTTCAAATATGCTTAGTTAGTTGAATAATTTATACAGTATTTTTTTTATTCTGGTTGAACATGATGATAATCATTAGATTTTTGTTTTCTGTTTGTAATCGTATGATTGAGAGTTAGCGATTAAGTGAATATGTTTGTTTTATTTAAATGTTATTCTTTTTCTACGATGAAATTAACGGTTTCCAGTGTATCATTTCATTTCAACTCGTATCTAGGCTGAAATACAATATTCATTGTGATGTAAAACAATCGTTGAAAAGATCTTTTATAGCTTCGTGAGGAAATTCTCGGAGTTCTAGTGAGAAGACGTCACCAAAGGAGTTCAATCCTGTCGGGTATAGGCAGTAACTACCAAAGACAAATGGGTGAGGTCGCGCAAAATACCTAGATCAATCAGAGTTAGACATTTAGACCGTTGGATGCCGGCCCAGTGGTCCGATAGTTAGGCGTCCGCTCACAATACCGAAGGTCCTGGGTTCGAATCCTGCGAGGTGCAGGAGTCGTGGGTGCGCACTGCTGATGAGTCCCATACCAGGACGAAACGGCCGTCCAGTGCTTCCAGGTTTCTAATGGTGGTCTAACAATGACTGATTGATGATTTCAAATGTGTAAAAACACAAATCTCCAAAGCTCTAACTGAAAATATAGCACATAACTTGTTGATATGATATTGTGAGATTGCTTTATACCTAAGAATGATTGTAACTGTAAATTAAATTCATTTTCAAATACTTAATCATAGACACACTATATTCTTTCAACAGATGTCTTCACTGAAGTATCCATGTATTTATTTAGTTCATCTTTATTTATTTTTAGAGGATTCCTGTGGACGACGCATTTGACATAGATTTGTCATCTTGTCACTGAGAGGTTAATCTTCGTCATTTTCATGATTAATTTTTGTTATCAGTCAGAAGAGATGAATTTTACCACGAATATATGCAACAATTCCATAGATTTCACAGGTATCATATTTTCATCAGACTTATTAGAAAATTTTAGGTAAGATATCAGTGTTTGTTAGTAAATAGCTGGGCTCGATTCACATAATTCAAAGAGAAAGATCAAATATTTAGGCACTAAAGTTTACGGAGTTCTAGGCTTTGAAAGTAAATTTATTGATATTTAACATACGGAGTAAAAATATATTTGTACTGAGGTTTATAATTTAAAGTAATTTTTAATGTTTGTGAAAGAAGAAAGTCATCAACGACAGTCTTGTAATCATAAAGTTTCGAGTATTTTGTTATAGGTTAATAACTTCGGACTAATAGATAGAAACAAACAACTTTGACTTTACTTATAGTTTTCGTATAATTTTAATCATGTTCTTTGGGGAACATTAAGATCCCTATAAGTGCTTTCCAAAAAAGTTTCCTCTCTTAGCATTTCACTAGGAGCCCGTAGTTTGTAGAGCTCATGAAGTCCACGGTGAAGTAACTAACACCTAACAATCGTCAGTAAAAATCAAGTTGGAGCTGCAGATCAATAAATCTCTCACTCCAGTTCATCTTGCATGGACCAGATGAGAATGAGTTAAGGAACTGGAAACTGAGACAAAGGCTTTTATATATTTTTTTACTTTTATGGTTATGCGACTGACATTTTTATCAAAAATAACTTATTTTCAGAATTATTTCATTTTACAAAGCAATTTATGTTCAAAATAGTTTTGGAAATGATGTACAGGTTATTATTTGTCTGAAGTGGTAGTCATAAAGTTTTTAATCTTTCATTTTTGTCAGTTATCTTTCACAAACTGTTTAAAGTTATCACAGCTGAATCATCAGATATTTTTAAAAATATATATATTCAAAAAAATATTATTGAATCAACTAAATGAAGATAAGTTTCATTTTCATAATATCATATGCTGAAGCTGTAAAATAATATTCATCATAATTCAGCAATTATAAAAGTCAGTAAAGGAATAAAAACTCAACAAATCATGAAGTATTTAAATTAATTTAGGTACTTTCGTAAAGTAAAGCATGAACATATTTCATTATCGTTTTGCTGAGTAGTCTTGTTGCTCATCAATGTTTTATTGTTGAGTTTATTTCAGCTAATATAAGCTCTTGAAAGCAAGTATGATCTTAGCAAAAGAAGTTTAGTGTAGTAAAACATCATAGACCTTGCTCTTTCCATTCAAACAAAAGATATTTTGAATTCATAAAAAATTTAAAACCAGAAAGTATTGAGTATCTGACTGCACTTGCAATTACTGTTTTCTTTTTCAGCGATTATTTATGAACAGTTTTAGTGTAAATTAAGTATATCTGAAAACAGAAAGCTATTGACTTCTCATGTACGACTTGATTTATTTGTCCTTACTTGACGATAAATTAGTTTCTTTTTATAAGTTTATGCATTACATCATTGAGTAGCTAAAAATAGGTCATTCAACGTTATGCATTAAACCTTCATAATGTTTACTACATATCAAAGTAAAATAAAAGAAGGTTTATTCACAGGATGAATAATTTTCATTGTATTTTTGTATTGGCAAACACAGAAACTAGAATCATGTGACACCAGTTACTTAATTTAAATTTAAATTACTTTTGCCTTTGTTTATTGAAACTAGCTTATTGGATATACCTAATAATAGCATTTTCATTTAACTGGAATGTTAGAAAGTTCTTAAAATCCATTGATAAGTTCCATCACGAGATGATGTCACATGGTAGGTATATCATGATAGACTACGTAGTACAGTATATCTGTTTAGTTTTAGCTTGGCACTTGTAAGGAGTGAGCAATTGCTGTTAAACGAAAGATCGGAACTACAGTGTGCAGCTCTTTTGAAAAATAGAACATCTTTTAACCAATGGCTTGAAATTGTTTAGTCTAGCTTTTATAATAATTTAATCGAGTTTTTGATATCGAAAAATTTCCAGTCAATATCTAAAAAATTTCGTATTATATTTAAATCATTAAATTTATTCTCCAGTGTTGATCTTTTATGAAACTGCTGTATATTTTTTGATCGACCAATCATCAGTGTCATTTATTTCAAGTTGTTATGCTCGTCACTTGATGTGTTTGAAACTATTACGAGTTCGATGGACGAGAACAAGACAATGAACCATTGACACAATAGGCTATTCTAATCCGTTGTCCCCGGCCCGGCTAACTATATCAAGAAGTCTTGATATGGCTTAGAAAGAGTATTCTGCAAGCACCCAGCAAATACAATGATCTCAAGCACACAAATCGCGTTTATTTATACATCATAGAGACGTCCTTGGGAGAGTCACAAAAATAATATACTAAATTAACAGAGCAACCAATCACAGCTAAGGATTCTCCCGGTGGAAAGTGTGATATCAAGGTCAACTGGTCAGCCCATGAATAAATCCAGAATTAAGACATTTATCAAGCGACTTCTGGGGATCTAACGTCCCTAACACAATTTCATCCTCAACATAAAATGTTCGTTAGCAAATAGATGGTAAATTTTAGAAATTTGCCCATTCAAATAAAATATCTATGTTTATTTGAAAGGCCATGAAAGAAAGCTTTCCAAAAAATTAAATTTGTTTGTTTCAGAGAAAATGCTGATTAACTGAATATTGCGAAAAGTGCTACTACATCTATCGTCTAGTGAAATGTTAAATTCAATTTATTTGAATCTTAGCTTATTTTTCAAGATTAAAATGGCTGACAAGGGTGAATATTGGCCAGCAAAGAAGTTTAAGACTTACTTTTCATCCTGTTTAAAACTTGTTAGCTAGATTTATATGCATCTCAGTGTGGATGTATGTACTCAAACATGAACTCGATACCTTCCACTTCAAACACCCAACGCATTTTCTAATAAATTATCAAGTCTTGATAATCGCTAGCTTTTGCAGTAAAGATGGTTGGTGGTAATTCATTATTCTAGAAAGCTTCTTATCTTCGCTTTGTTGATGTTAAAGCATGCAGTCAATTTGCCACTTTTGGCTTATGTACTTTCTTACAGATGAGCTTCGAAATTGCGATTGAGTCACAAGTTTTTAGTAAAGTTCGATACATAATAAATAATAATGAATGACTTTTAAATTTTTTTTTTAATAAAAAAAAACATTCTATCAAATTTTACTTTCTATAAAAATATTATCTTCAAAGAAGAATGTACTTGTCTATTGATTTAAAAGATAAATAATAATTGCATTCACATTCCAAACAGACAGAAAAATGTACTGAATTATTTCATATTAAAACATACCACGCTTTGTTTTAATAGTTTCAATAGAAATAAAGTATTTGATTTCTCAATTTTTATCTTAAAATGGATTATTCATTTCACAATTATTTATGATTTATAAAAAAATAAGATAATTACAGAATATTTAGTTTTATATATTAGTTTTAGTATGTGAACACTTTTAAACAAGAAAGAGAGCAGATTTATTAGATGAGAAGACAGTAACAATATTAGAATGCTAAGTCGTAGAATAATAGATTACTATAAACTAGAAAGAAGTTCACCTTTTTGTGTTTTGCTCTCATTACATGTTGTTCATTCAGAATTCTTTTTTATAGAATAGACTACAAGAAATATTGCGTGTAAGTAAACTTGTTCTATTTTATCATAACGAATTACTGTTCACATTTTTTATTGATGAAGAACTAAGAGGAATTTATATGATT